ACTACCCAGAACCCTCTTTGTCCTCTAGTCTCCTGAGATCCTGGGTCCATACCTCCCCGATTTCTCATGGATACTCATGTCCAGAGACCTATCGTATGCCATGCCTGCCTTCTCCTCAGAAGAGCGGAGGTTAGATCATAGCCATGATTTGTGATTCTAGTAAATGCTGAAGGAAAATGATAGGAATATGATGACCACTAAATATTTCTTCCACATGTCATTGTTTTGTTTTTTGAGACAGAGTCTTGCTCTGTCGCCCAGGCTGGAGTATAGTGGCATGATCTCAGCTCACTGCAACCTCCACCTCCCTGGTTCATGCCATTCTCTTGCCTCAGCCTCTCAAGTAGCTGGGATTACAGGTGCCCGCCACCACACCCAGCTAATTTTTGTAGGTAGAGGCAGGGTTTCACCATGATGGCCAGGCTGGTCTCAAACTCCTGACCTCAGGTGATCCTCCTGCCTTGGCCTCCCAAAGTGCTGGGATACAGGCGTGAGCCACTGTGCCCAGCCCCCATGTCATTATTTTAAATGGCTATATCAGATTTTATCCAATGAACATATATACATTATTTAATATTCTCATTGTTGGCCCTTCCATGAGTTCCAATTTTTTCTAGGTAAATATCCTTATAGGTAAGACTTAGAAGAAATTCTTATTATTTCATTAGGATAACTTTCTAAAAATGGGATCTGTGGGCCAAAGGGCATGTAGATCTTTTGGGTTTTCATATAAATTGCCAATTTCTATTCCCACGAGAAGGGTATGAGAGTACTTGCTTCCCATGCCCTTTGCCGACAGCTACATTAGTTCTTAGGCCACAGTTTCTTTAATCATGAGTGTCAAAAGTTGCTGATCTTACATATAGCTCCCTACTATGTGTAAGATCTCTACCAGGAGATAGAGCAGAGAATTTGAACGCCCCCCGCCGCCTTGTTTTTTTCTCAAGACAGGGTCTGACTTTGTTGCCCAGGCTGTAGTGCAGTGGCGTGATCACGGCTCACTGTAGCCTCAACCTCCCCAGGCTCATGTGCTCCTCCCATCTCAGCCTCCCAAGTAGTTGGGAATACAGGCATACACTACTGCATCCAGCTAATTTTTATTTTATTTTTTTGTAGATGTGGGGTTTCCCCATGTTGCACAGGCTGGTCTTGAACTCCTGAGCTCAAGGGTTCCTTCCACCTCAGCCTCCTTTTAAAGCGCTGGGATTACCGGTGTGAGCCTCCACACCCGACCTCTATTTCTTTCTTGACTTGGGCTCCTCCTGTTCTGCTGCCTGTGACTTCCTGGGAGGAAGCTGTTGTCCTTCCCCAGGTGGAGGAAATAGTAAACAGGCTAATAAATCGGTGGTGTGTACCACAGGACTTTATAAGAAACCTTTTACATCTTTGGATCTTCTACTAAATGAAGGTACAGCACTGCTTTTTGACACATAGGTACATCTGTATATTGGGCACATTTCCCTTCCACATGTTTAACAAAGATTTATTTGACAGCATGTACTAGATTCAAGACTCTAAGTTAGAGAATTCAAACCCCAACAAACTTACAGTTGATAGGGATACAAAAATAAGATAGTGCAAAGCACGGCAGCCTATGAGCAGTGTAACCAGGGGCCTCTGAGGAGAAGCTTACATCAGAGGACTTGTTGAGCAGTTCCTCAATTCAGAATACCTTCACTTGTGCTGTCGTTATGGGTTGATGTGGCATCAAAGCACCAGGACTCACATAGCTCTGCGTTCGTCCATCTGCTAACTCTGTGGCTTTGGGTAAATTCCCTCTTCTGAGCCCTATTTCCTCACCTGTAAAAGCAGGATAAACTCATTTGCCTGTGATCATTGTGGGAACTAAATGTGAGAATAAAGGTCAAGGGTCTGGAGAAGCGCAGGGGTAGGCCGTCCACACAGGGAACCGCGTCTTTTTAGCAGGTGCTCTCTCCATTTTGCAGGGGGTAAGGATCTGAGGTTCAATTTGCACAGTGCTGTGACATTTTTCAAAGCTTCCTCATATCTCATTTCACCCATTCTCCTGGTAGCTTTGATGTTTGCCAAGCAGGTGGTAGTCTCCCATTGCAAAAATAAAGCAATAGGTGCATAGAGGTTGAGGGAATTGGAAAGATTAGACAACCAGTTAATGGAAAAAACAAAACTAAAAGATGGTATTTTTACTTACAAGTGTGAACTAGGACGCATTTTCCAAAACAACTACATGAATTGTTCTTTTTTTCTTATTTATTTATTTATTTTTGAGACGGAGTCTCTGTCACCCAGGCTGGAGTGCAGTGGCACGCAATCTGGGTTCACTGTAACCTCTGCCGCCTTGGTTCAAGCGATTCTCCTGCCTTAGCCTCCCAAGTAGCTGAGATTACAGGTGCCTGCCACCACACCCAGCTAATTTTTGTATTTTTAGTAGACATGGGGGTTCAACATCTTGGCCAGGCTGGTCTTGAACTCCTAACCTTGTGATCCACCCGCCTCAGACTCCCAAAGTACTGGAATTACAGGCGTGAGCCACCGTGCCTGGCCATATTGTTCTTTTTTTCTTTTTAAGATAGAGTTTTGCTTTTGTTGCCCAGGCTAGAGTGTAATGGCATGATCTCAGCTCACCACAACCTCCGTCTCCAGGGTTTAAGCGATTCTCCTGCCTCAGCCTTCTGCGTAGCTGGGATTACAGGGGCATGCCACCACACCTGGCTAATTTTGTATTTTTAGTAGAGACAGGGTTTCTCCATGTTGGTCAGCCTGGTCTCGAACCCCCAATCTCAGGCGATTTGCCCACCTCAGCCTCCCAAAATGCTGGGATTACAGGTATGAGCCACTGCACCAGGCCTCTTTTTTTCTAAATAGCTATTACCTTAGAGTTTTCTATTAATACCAATATTTTCTTACCATGTTACCTTGCAGCTTCATTATATTGTCAGCCAAACACAAACAGGCACACATACCTGCACAAAAAATTTTACCTAAACCAAAAGTGAATTTGTTCATGTTTGACCTTATCCGCTCTCTCATATCTATCCTGAAGGATCTTCACCTGGATCCAAAATGCCCCTTTTGCCCATTGTTGCTTTTTAGCACAGATGGAACCCCTCCCCCTCTTTTTCCACTTGGCCTGAGCACCTCAGGACAGCCCCTTTCCAAAAGAGCTGTTTCTGTTTGACCGTCAACAACCTCTTTCATCGCTGAGCCTGAGACTGGCTGATCAAATGTGGGCCACTTGATCCAAGCCCTCCCTGTAAAGCCAAGAGGTCATCATCTCCCTTTTGTCATTTACCAAGCATTAGAGACTTCCCCAGGACTGACCTCTCCGTGCAGCCCTGATTCCATAGGAAAGGAGGCCAGCTGATACGAAGCTGGATGTATAAGGTCAAATACTGGTGGTCGGGGGGTGGGTTGTATAATTCCTATAATTTACTGAATAGCTAATAATGTTCTTGACACTTGTGTTTCATTATCTGTCTCCTTTAATCTTCATGCTACTCTAGCCCCATTTCACAGACGAGGAAACTGAGGCTCAGAGATGTATATATGTTTCTTCTTTCGTGTATTCTTTTTCAATAAGAGACCGCTTTCCTCCATGTCCCACCATTCTGTCTTAGCTGAGAAGTTAGGAGCAAGCAAGCATCAAGTCTCTCATATGCGGAATTTAATGAGTATTAAGAATATATGTTTTGTTGACCAAAATGTGTATCTTGCATTTATTATTTAATTCTGGCTGTGAGATATTTTTATTTGGTAAGAAAAATGATTATTTAAATGATAATTATTTGTACACATGTTTTCTGCCGTGTTCCAATGAAGATTTAAGCAATTTCCTTCGCTTGAATAAAACACGGGATCCTTATTGCTTGAGTGGGCCCATCCGTGTTTCCAATAGCCCATGTGTACAGTCAGCTGCCAGCTTCAGCTACCAGAGCCATGACCTGCCTTTTTCACTTTGGGGTTTTTCTTTTCCTGGTAAATTGACTTCATTCATCAGAAGCACAAATTAAATGTAAATTTCTGGATTTAAAAAGATTTCTTTGGTCCGTAAATGTTTCCAAAGTCAGAGTCCTGATTCAGACTTCAATCTTTTTATTTCCTGAAGATAAAGATTAGGGATAGGAAAGGGTAGGAACAAACACATCTTATTCACAAACAGCAACATCATCAGTAAACAAATGTGGAAAAAGTGTCCATAGTCACAAATAATTAAAGTAATGCAAATTAAAGCAACAATGAGGTCTAATTTTTCACCTATCAAATTAGCGATACATTTTTTAAATGATACCATTCACAAGTCCCGTGAAACTGGTAATGCATCCATTGCTAGTAGTTGGTGTAAATTGGAAAGCAATTTGATAGAATGAATAAAAAGCCTTGAAAATGTTTATATCTGTTGACTTAGTAATTTCATTCCTGGGGATTTCCATAAAAAGAAATAATACGAAAGAAAGAAAAACTGCAGTATTTATCACTGGCATTTTGAAAGTTAAAAAACAATGAAAAATAATAGAAAGAATCCTAAATGCCCGATAGTAATAGAATATTGAATACGTGGTGTATTAAATTATTGTATATCTGCTCAGTGATATATGCATTCAGTAAAATTTTTGTGATGACTTTGTAGCAACATGAAAATGCTTATATTAGGAAAAAGCAGGATATAAAATTATGCATGAGCTATGATTGCAAGTAATTTTTAAATGTCTGCATGTGGACAAAGTGAATATATAAAAATGAAAATAGCCATGGAAGAGAGTAGGATGAGCCATAATAATTGTTTTCCTCACTGTTGGGAATTATTATGTTAATGTTTATAATTTAACATGGATGGTTTTGGTTTCTCTAGTTCTTGAAAGTCAAAGTGCCAGGTTAGCGCCCCATTCCTTCCATCTTCATCAGGAGGACAGGTTCAGAATGTCACGGAGAGAGTCGCGTGGCAGGCCTCTCCGTTGTAGGGTGAGAGGGAGCACAGGTGCCAGAACTCCACTGCAAACCCCTCACCATCCTTGTCCCTGCAGGACATTGCCGAGAATGGCTGCGCCCCCACCCCCGAGGAGCAGCTGCCGAAGACTGCACCGTCCTCACTGGTGGAGGCCAAGGACCCCAAGCTCCGAGAAGACCGGCGGCCAATCACAGTCCACTTTGGACAGGTGTGTACCCTGCCCTCCTAGGTGTCCATTTTGGTTTTTCGGATTTTCGTTTTTAGCAGCAGCTGTAGCACATGCAGCAGTCGGTTTCACATTTCAGTTCTCTTTGGCAGTGCAGCTCCATGGAAGTTTTCACATCTTTAAATGTTTATTTGGTGTAAACACATTTTGGAGGCAAATTTTAAAAACTTGGAGAAGACAGCATGGCTGAGGTCATAAATGAGCGGGATGTTGAATGAAGTCATTAGATGCACTGATGCCTCCCCTACGCCAAGGCACTCTGCTTAAGGTGCCTCTGTTAGCTAAGCATCTCATTAGAACACTTTAGCATCCCGGGCCCTTCTTTGCACCTTCAAATAAAAGGCAACAAGCGAAGTCTTAAAAAAAAATCAATTAGGAGTTCTTTATTAATGTACTTCCTGAAAATCAATATCAGGAGTTGTGCTTCTGAGAGTAAACACTCGTGCTACAATTTTACAGATTCAATTCTTTAAATAACTGTTTTCAACAACCTAAGCTTTGAAAAATTATCTATTTTTTTCCCTTAAGTAAAACATTGCACTCTGTATAGAAACTAAAATTTTTTATCCCCTTCCTGCTTGTAGTTATATTTTTGGTTGAAAAAGATTGTGTACCCTTTCCTACATATCTTGAATTGACTTTTGGTTAGTGAAAGTCGTCATTTGGAGGGATTTATGAGAAATGGCTCTTTTAGCAAGATGTGGCTATAACAAGAATTTGCAGGGTTATTTATTTTTAAATCACCTGATTCTGTAGCCATTTATTAGATGATGCATGATTCAGAGTCTTCATGGTTTTTATCTTAAATGTGATTGCTATTTCTCTATCTGTAAAGAACCTAGAAGCCTACGCTCCTGTTTTGAACAGACCTTTATCCGGGGCCTACTATGCACCAGCCATTGAGCTATTCAGAAATGAAGGGAACTAACAGAATTCTTGCTCTAGGTTATTACCGTAAGGGGCGAGTTGGTTGGAACAGAAAAGCCACTCTTCTCTAATCAATATTTTCAGATAATATACGTTTATACATCTTTAACTTGGGGAGGTTCACCCCTTTTCTGATTTTATACTTAAAAGAATGTTGTAAAAATTGAAATGAAATGCAAGAAAGAATCCACAGGGTGATACTCATTTAGTTAATGAGTATTTTCAAATTGCACTGTGTCTGCACCCCTGAAGAGCTGCCTCCCCCAACCCCAGGCTCAGGCCCTGTTGGAGAAATCCGCACCCCAGTTCCCTGGCTGTGTTTGCTGAAAGCACAGCCCCTGGTTGTCACCAGCGTGGCATTCCAGAGTCAGCTTCCTGCTTTCCTTTGTCCTCATTCCTGCACACACTAACCTTCCCATGAAAGGAGCCCCTCACTGGAGTTTGGAGCCCATTACAGAGAAAGAGGGGGCGGGGGAGAGGGATTTCATGGTGTTAAACATTCCATTTTCGAGACACACAAAAAAAGGAGGCCCTATTTGAAATGGAGAAAGACCCTCTTTCCATTTCAGCCAGAAGTAGAGATTCTTTAATGTCATTCCCAGCTAAATGCAGAATAAGAGTATGTGTGTGTGCACGGGTGGGGGATAAACAATTAAAAAAGCCACCCCAAACTCTGTTGAAATAAGAGCTGTCTGTGCCTTCACAGGTCTGCAAACTGGAGAGGATGAAAGTGGCTTTTTTTCCCCGTTTGTCACTTCCCTCACGTGGCTGCCAGCATTATGCAAGTGTACAGGAAGGCAGGATTTTTTTTTTAATGCATGCATGCGGATTAAGGTCAAGCCCCTAGTATCAGCCATGCAGCGGGCTCTCCCTTCCAGCTGCAGCCGCAGAGCCTACCCACAGCCGCGAGATGCCTTAATTGAGACGTGCTGTCAAAGTGACAAACACATTTGCATACAGTCTACACTCTATTTATTTCCTCTGGAAAGGTCTACAGTCTGCTGTTGGTTGAACATTCTTAATCAGTTTGCTGTAAGTGAACTGCCAGCTAGCTCAGTTGTGCCGGCCCCTTCTTCATTAGGTGACAGATTAGCTGCAGGGGGAGTGGGGGTTGCGCCAGGGAAACCACGGACCCCTTTCTTTTAACTCTTTGCATCTTTGCCTTCATGGTAGGTTGTTCTTGAGTCTTTTCCTGGGTCTCTGATTTGATGGGCTGTTGACCGTAACGGGTAGCGTTTCTAGAGCACCTGCTACCGGCAGGCGTGAGTTGTAAGGACTTGATATTCTTCCCAAAGAACAGCCTCGAGTTTCATTTCAAAAATTTTTACCACATTCTGTTACCATCTATACTGTTATTTTTACTTGATAGTTTTCTGTAAACAAGACTCAGACCAGACATCTACACCAAGCTTAGCCTCATCTTCAGAGATGCCGTTGGTAAAATTATAGGTTTGATATACTAGTCCAAGTTTTTTCTAACATACGAAACAATTTTAAGTATTCATCTGTGGATCACCTAAAGCACTTATGTAGCCCTAGTGGTGTATATTCTCTCTTTTTGGAAACCAACAGACTCCTCAGTATCTTTTTTTGTTGTCTCCGCCATATCCCTTTGAGGAAGGGACCATTAGCCCCATTTTACTGACCCCAAGCTGGAGTCAGAATCATGAAGGAACCTGTCCAGGCCACTTCACCAGCTTAGAAACCCAAGCCCGGACAGCCCACCTCAAGTCCACCCCAGCTCTCAAACCAGGCAGGGACTGCAGCAGTGTGATACATCTGTTAAAGCTGCTGTGCCCTACCCTGGGCAAAATCATCTTAACCAATCAGAGAAAGCACCTATTTTAACCTCAAAAAAATCCTTACCTTGGATCTGTGTTTCTGTGGATTTCATTCTTTAAGAACGCTTAGCTTGCCAGTGGGGATGGAGACCGTTGAGATCGTTGCCTTCATGTCTCCACCTTGCAAAGCCGGTGCCTGTGCAGCCAGCCAGGGCAGCTCCACAGAGACCTCTGACAGCAGCTCTGCAGCGGGGGCTGGTGAGAGGTGAGCTTAGTGTCGAGGCAAGAGCTGCTACCGCTGGGGGAGAGAAGGTGCTGCCTTGCCCTCTGTCCCAGTGGAGTTCCTCCTTCCAGGCTGTGACCATTCCTCCACTTCAGCATGCATCCATTCATCTATCTGTTGAGACCTACCATGTCTAAGATAAATAAGTTCTCAGTCCCCACCGTTTTGGGACATAATGATAAGACAGACCAGCAGACGGACAGGCCCAATTGGAGCAATAAAGACAATGAGGGAAGTGGGCTCCAAGCGCTCCCAGGGCCCCACAGAGGCTCCCTCTTTCTCCAGGTCTGCTGCATAGTCATAGTCCACTTTAGAGTCCCAAGTCGGACCATAGTTAAAAGATATTTTGTCAATAGCCTGACCAACACGGTGAAACCCCGTCTCTACTGAAAATACAAAAATTAGCCAGGTGTCATGGCATGCATCTGTAATACCAGCAGGCAGGAGAATCGCTTTAACCCAGGAGGCAGAGGTTGCAGAGAGCCGAGATCGCACCACTGAACTCCAGGCTGGGCGACAGAGTGAGACCCTGTCTCAAAACGAAAAAGATATTTTGTCAACAAACTGAACTCCCTAGTAATTCATTTGTTTTCTAAAGCAGACGTATGTTGGGTCGCTCAGCTTGTAAGGAGGAAAGTAAATAGATTTTTAGTTAGCCTCTGCCTCCTGATCGCCTAGTTTCTTTAAGAATTCAAAAGTATCAACTTGAGAATGCTTGTTCCTGCCTTCGAAGATGTTACAGTTTAGAGAGGCTTTAAATTACTATCTTCCCCTAATCAAGTTTAGTGTCTTGGGGGAAACAAAGCCCAGGGGACAGTCAAATGAGATGGAAGTGCCAGCCGTGTTTATTGATAAGCCTAAAAGGAGAATATTGCATCAGACCTGAGGCCAAATGTTGCAAACGCTTCACCTGAAAATGTGAAGACTGCGTTTCTCCAGGCAGGTCTCGCCAGGGTGGAGCTGCCCATGAACTCCTAGCAAGGAGGAGCTGAGGGAGGGCCTTGCACTGGCTGCTCCCCAGGAGGGGTGATGGAGCTCAGTTCCTTCTCCCAGACTCCCCGGGAAGTCATTCCTCCTCCTCCTCCTCCGGGCAGGACTGAGCAAGAGGGTGCCAGGCCAAGTCAAGGAATCCCCCCTGGTTTTCTCTCCTAGGGGAGGAAATGGAAGCTCCCTCCTTCCCAGGGCTGTAGAAGGAGTGAGGGAGTGGTGTCCTCCCCAGCAGCCCTGGGCACCCCTTGGTTATAATAGCTGGCCTTGATCCTCTTCCCTCCCGACGCCCCCTGTGGAAACTCCTCTGCTCCCTACATTTAATAAGATGGGCAAGTCATAGATGCTTTCAAACCCGTGGGCACTGACTTGAGACTTTGCCATCAGCAGGCAAGGAAGAAGGCGTTTGACTCATGGTACACATGACGAGGCACGCTGGGACAGCATTGCTGGAATGAGTAGCTAATTCCTCCTCCAAAGCCAACAACAGCAGCACCTCTGCTTCTCTTGGCCATGTGCAGCTCTCCCTCCTTTCTGGGAGAATGGCCTGATTGTGTCAGTTCATTGACACTGGACCCTAGTCTAAGGTGCAGATGGCCAAGGCTCTAAGCCTTGGCCAAGACTGAGGCTTCCCTGACAATATCACAGCAAACCCCTTCCAGGGCCCTCTTCTTATGTTTCCTCCAAATGATAGATCCTGCAAACAAAGTAGCTGCCTGCCTTCCAATCTGATAGATTCCAAAAAGCATGTGTTGAAAGGCGCTGCCTCTATTCTCCCATCTGAGGAAAGGATTCTAAATCTCTTTAATGTAAAGTTTGAAAAGCTGGTTAAACCAAAACCAAAACCAAGCACCACTGTGGCTTCCAGGGAACTGCAGCAGAGAGGTCTGGATAGCAGCCCCACGAATAGCTCTTGGGATGTGGTTGCCAGCTTATCTGTGCGTATGGAGAATTCTGGCATCAGGGGCATGAGCCAGGTCATTTAGTGCCATTCCCATGCTAGG